ACTTCGACTTTCACGTAGGTAGAGTCTGGTACAGTCACATCATACTACATATTTTTGTTGCAATATAGGACGTATTACAATGGCATAAGATGTTCTGAGATTAGCTTGATGTGCTGTCGTCTACTCGAGTGGCACAGTGGGGCGTAATTAAATTTTCGTGATGACCCAAATAGATTATAGTGTTAACACGTCTTAAACGACAATTGTTATTAAATTGATTGTTGTTGACGAATAGTTAAAGAATGGTAGTAAGGAAAAAAGTAATGTGAAGATAAAACACATGCATGTTTTTTTTTATTAGATATTTATTATGCTACTGTAATTTATGTAGGTACCAATAAAAAATCTGGAAAAACTAATTATTTTGTCTCCTATTTTCAGAATATTTACATTAGCACGATTTCAACAAAGTTTTCATTAGATTCTGTTGCATCATCATAAAAGTACCTGTTTCAGACTTAAGTAAAATTAAACAAGTAGCAATAACTTTATAACTTCATAATTCATAAGTCCAAAACGACTGAATTTCAGACACTTCATCAGAATTTAACGTCAAAGCATATAAACAATTTCACATGTTTCTCTTTTATCTCGGAAAAGCTCACAATCCTTCGTTCCATGCGCTAATACTAAGTAATTGAAAAACCCAGCCTAAAAATGGGCATGTATTTATAAACCCATCGTCGACCGGTGGGCAGTACGAACAATGTACTGCAGACAATCACTCGCAGCGCCCGCGGCGCCGGTGTAAGCCGATCTACACTAATCCGATTTGACGAATTAATCTCAATGGTACAGTCCGGTTGATAGAACTAAGAATGTAACTGTATAATTGATAGGGTTTATGGTATGGAATTGAATATTTGTGGAGATGGTCAGTTGCAAGACTTCTTTTTGATTCTTGTTACTGAGGAAAGTGACAGTATTAGAACTTGTGTGAAATCAACTCTCTTAAAAAAGTTACTGTCATGACAGATTCACAGTAGGAAATCGTGTTTAAAAGTAAGTGATTCAGCGAAACGAATTCAAGAATGTCTAGTAGTAAAACACTCTATGTCCTAATTAACCTGGAAGTTTTAAATCAGTGCTTTTTAAAATATTATGTCTTGAAAATCGAACCAAGGACCTTCGAAAGTCATATTCTCTAAGTAACAATTAAGAAGTGGCATTATGCCCACTACTGGTATTAAATACCCTTTAAAGAGACGCTGTTTAAGATAATAAATTAATCACCAAGGGCGTATGAAGCTTTTCATAGGCCGATCTATTTCTGCCTACAAATATTAAATCCGATTATGAAACAATTAAATGTGGGTTAATTAAGAGGAACACACCAAATTGGTGAGTTTATGCAAATCAAATGTTAATTTTAACGGTATTTAAACAACATAATGTGAAAATTACTTACCGACAGGCAATATACAAAATTACTAACCTTACTATAACAATATGTATAAAATAAAGTACTACGAGTGTTATTTTTACAAAGGACTAGCGGCCGCCCGCGACTTCGTACGCGTGGATCCCGTTTTACCCCCTTCCCGCTGTTCTGTTGAAAATTTTCCTGAATTTTCTTTGCTATAAACCTTACGGAGCCCGAGACCTTTCCAACGAATGCAAAACCGTGGAAATCGGTTCGTGCGTTCTGGAGTTATAGCGTCAGGGAGGAAAACCGGACTTATTTTTATGTAGTAGATATTTAGATAAAGTCGACCAAAACACCATTTTCTTGATTTTTTACGGATTCAGTACTAGATGTCGTCGAACTATTGCTGTTAGGTCTTTATTTAATGTAAGATTAATCGCAACGAGAAAAAAAAAGATTAAACACAATCTTTGTCTCAGTATTATAATGTGATAGAGATGGGTTTGTAGCCAGCTAGTTTGGATAATAACTGATTATTATCTGTTAATAGCCATTAATAGCCATCCATTGGCTAGTAACCCTGCTATTAATAGTTTCTTACGTTTTTTCTTCCACCTTTAAAATCAAATCAATATTAAAATCAAATATTACTCAAAGAAACAAAAAAGAACTAAAATATTAAAAAACATCAATGTAATTTATATAAACGACATTGTAGTTAAAAAAGAATCTAAATATACATAAAAGGAGAAACTGACTGACTTAGTGACAGATAAACGCACAGCCTAAACGGCTAAACGTAGGCACTTGAAATTTGGAAGGGACGTAGCTTAAATACCGTAGAGGTGCACTAAGAAAGGAATTACCGAAATTCCCAAGGGAACGGGAATTAGCGGGAAAATCCTTTTGTATGAAAAATCTAAACCGCTTAAGTCAGACGCTTGAAATTTGGCATGTAGGTACATTAGTAAACTTAAAGCTTAGTTACAACAAGGAATTCCCGAAATTCCCACGGGAACGGGAATTAGCGGGAAAATCCTTTTGTATGAAAAATCTAAACCGCTTAAGTCAGACGCTTGAAATTTGGCATGTAGGTACATTAGTAAACTTAAAGCTTAGTTACAAGAGGATATTGAAAAATTCCCACGACCACCTAGATCCAAAAAAATCTAATCTTGATTTTTTCACGGTTTCAGTATACTAGATGCCGTGCTATTGCTGTTAGGTCTTTATTTAATGCAAGATTAATCGCACCGAGAATAACTGTTGATTAAATACAATCTCTATCTCAGTATTACAATTTCAGTGAACTCCATTCAATGACCAACTCCACCGAACTAGATCCAAAAATATCTAATCCTAATGTTTGTGTTAATCAGGTGTTTCGTTATTTAGTGGTTATTTATGTATAACCAGTATGAATAGACGTAAACAAGGCGTCAGCCAGGGCGAGTAATTAACGCGCGCCGAAGGGCTCTCGCGCTAATACCTTCAAAGGACGACGTATAACGACCCAGTAATTATTTAATCACCGTATTGATCGTGAGTCAAGCCTTGGTTTGATTTGTTAATTTAGAAGCGATATAATTGGGGGATTGATTGATATTAAAATGACTGTTCTTAATTTAGCACTAAAAGTGTCGCAGGTTATGTTCAGCTACGGTTTTGAGGTTGATAAAAAGGCAGAGACATTGTTTTCCTCTAATTCTACGTATTTCCTAAAATTTTTAAAGAGATGGATTGAAAAAAAATTCTCGTGTAAAAAAGAAGCGCAAAAAAAACTACCGTGTAAAAAAGTTACGGTACTTAAAAATAAGAAATATTATTTGAGTAATGGGCGCCTTTAACTTTACTGGTGTAAACAATTAAATAAGTTCGTTAACGAACAAAAGTGGTTTGTAAAAAAGAAAACTGTATAAAAAGGTCGTAATCACAGCACAAAAACTTATTCAACGGTCAGTACATAGAGCGAAGGAATAAAAAACAAACAGCCTCGCTTGGTACGAGACGAAAATCCCCAATTAATTGGTCCAAGCGGATCGCTACTAAATTAAACATTTTCTCTTATTTAAAACCGAAATGAAGTCCATTTGAATTCGAACGGGCCAGTAATTACACAGTTTACGACGTGCCAAAGCGTACTGTCGGCCATTTTAGGCGAACGCTCGGTCCGGCGGGAAAACGCGACACCTACAGGATTTAAATTGCGAATGTTTCAAACTGAATAAAATTAATCAATGCATTAATTACACAAGTTTAGGCTGTTGGAAGTTCTTCTTTATATCTATAGGGTATCATTTTTTATCTTCATGTTGTGGCTAAGTGGTTCGTAATTAATGTAGACTCATAAGTTAAACATCTGTTTTAAAATGGTTAGTACTATGTAACCTTTAGAAATTAAGTTTCTGCCATAACTATAACTCTATGTGTGTTATAAAATGCTGTATGTTTTCCTCCTATCAATAAAATAAATAACTGGATGTAATAATTTGTGATTTTGTTTTCAAATTCAAATCAAGTCTACTTTAGAGTTACAAATTCACTATCTACATCGATTTCCAACCGTTTTGTCCGACACAGTTTATCAGAACCATCCTCATTCATCGAAATGGCGCGCCCCACAGATATAAAAGCAAAAAAAAAAACTAATCGCCGATTACCGGCCTTGCAACTACGGTGATTGGAAAAATTTTCCTGCTCCAACTTTTTAAATTGGATTCAAGCGAAGCTCGGTTTGCTCCGAATGCTTGGGACTAGTAGATAATGCGATTCACTCAATACTCCGCCATTAAATTGCATCTTTGAGAAACGTTTACGTGAGTTATAAAGGGTTTAGTTGCGTATTATACGAAATCGGATTGTATTTATTTGATATGATATTGTTCGGTTCAGCTTTTCAGTTGGCTTCACATTTGTTATTGAAGTAGACAGAATGTCGTCGTGCATCGGAGCACGCTGTGTTACGATGTTGTGTCGTGAATTTTTACCATGAAACACCGTCTATGCCGCGTCGTATCGGGGTTTTGTGTAAGAGCCCTTAATAGCGGAAAAAAACCTTAATGTCTTCTATGAGTACATATTATGTACATAATGTTTCATGAGAAGATGTTCACATAAAAAGAAAGATATTATTTAAGCCGGGTTGCACCTTATTACTTTAACTTTGACAAACGTCAGAAATCTGTCAAACTCCATACAAAAACACCGGTTATCGATACATAGGTACGGTCAAAGCTGGGTGTGCAACTCAGCCTTAGAGTCTCTCACTCGGTGGATTGACGATCCAGTGAAGCTAAAGCCCGGTCCGTGAGCACGTAGAATTTTGTCCAATGACCCCTAGCTACCCATCCTTATCGCTCGCGCGTAATTATATTGCTGTCGCGACTGTGCGACTGGCACCTGCAGTGAGTGTGCGAGCGCGATAGCAACATAATTACGCGCGAGCGATAAGGATGGGTAGCTTGGGGTCATTGGACAAAATTCTACCTGCTCACGGACCAGACTATAGCTGTAGTAAGTCGAAAGCACCTGGATACGGGCAGCGCAGGACTGGTCGTTATGGAAATCATTGGGGGAGGCCTTTGTCCAGCAGCAGTGGACGTCATTTGGCTGAAATGAAAGTCTTAGTACTCACCGCATCTCGTGGCTGATCTTCCTCAGTAGTTTCAATGTCGACGCTCTCATCGCTGTCTCTGTCGCTCTTGGTGGAGCGCGCGGGCGACGAGCGGAGCGGAGAGCGGGCCGGCGAGCGGAGCGGCGAGCGGGTTTGCCGCGGAGATGATGTGGCCATTGGCGATCTGGACGTAACACTGAGTTTTAAAGGTGTTAGGTGTTAGTTGATACCTATGTCTTAACTGATAATAATACATTAAGTGTAAAAGTGATATGAACTTTTGTGCCTGTGTAATAATTACTTGCAACTTGCAACCAAAGGTTTTATTTCGTCTTATAAGTATGCTCGTGCAAGGGGCAGACAAATTCTTATTCAGTAATCTCAGATCACAGTCCATGCTGCCCCAAACTCCACTCCCCTATTTATCCTTTCTTTTCTTTCCTTTCACTTTATTAATTACTAGCTTTCCGCCCGCGGATTCGCCTGCGTTTAATTTAGTCTGTCACAGAAAATCTTTATCGCGCGCGTCCTTGTTTCAAAAACCGGGATAAAAACTATTCTATGTCCTTTCCCGGGACTCAAACTATCTCTATGCCAAATTTCATCAAAATCGGTTCTGGGGTTTAGGCGTGAAAACAAGACAGACAGACAGACAGAGTTACTTTAGCATTTATAATATTAGTATAGATACAGTTCATTCAGTCTGCTTGAGCGCCAGGACCGTCCAGGGCGCTCACTCCACTCAAATCCTAACAAATGATGTGATGATGATGATGATTACCTTTCTGGCGACCGCGGTGGCGACAGCGCGGGCGAAAGCTGCGGCGAGTCCAGCCGATGCGAGCGCACTGGACGGAACGCACGTGGTTCTTCCAAAGCGCTCACTCCGCTCAGCGCGGTCAGAGCTCCTGGTAAATAGACGGTATTATTTAACTTAAAAGTTCACCATTCGAGGGCCAAAAAGTTCGAAGAATTTGCTGAATCATCGGTAAACGTCGAGTGAATTTAAAAATAGGCAAGCTACATGAAAATGGCGTCTTACTACATAATCTTAAGTTTTCCGCGGAAAGAACCGCGAGCAGCGCAGGACCGGTCCTTGTGGAAATCCTTGGGGAGGCCTTTATCCAGCATTGGGCGTCCTTTGGCTGAAACGACGAGAAGGACTTTTCATCAGGCCGAGGCCGATGCAGGCCAAGAACTGTGTGGTAATAAAACTCGTTGTGGTGGTAACAAAACCACCACTAACTCTCACCTGGAGTCCACAGCGTCGGTTTAAGCCATGGTATCGCAAACGGCACCCCACACGTAGTCTCCTAGCCATGGCTTCTCAGATTTCCTACCTAGACCACCTGTCTCTTACCTGGGGTTACCTAGACCACCTGACTCTCACCTGGGGTCCACAGCGTCGGTTTGAGCAACGGTATCGCATACGGCAGGGGTAGCCACGCCACGCACCCCACACGTAGTCTAGGTACAGGCCATAGCTAGTACCTATGAAAGTGAGTGAGTAAAATGTGTCGAGACACATTTTCATACCTAGATTACCTGACTCTCACCTGGGGTTACCTAGACCACCTGACTCTCACCTGGGGTCCACAGCGTCGGTTTGAGCCACGGTATCGCATACGGCAGTAGCCGCGCACCTCACACGTAGTCTACTAGCCATGGCTTGACACATTTCATACCTAGACCACTGCCTCTCACCTGGGGTTACCTAGATCACCTGACTCTCACTTGAGGTTACCTAAACCACCTGACTCTCACCTGGGGTCCACAGCGTCGGTTTGAGCCACGGTATCGCATACGGCAGGGGCAACCTCGCACCCCACACGTAGTCGGCCAACCGCGGCACCGGCGCGTGAGCACTTGGCGGGCTGGCCGGCGGCCGCTTCGGCTCACTAGCGCCGTCGGCTTCGGGCCTGCGGGTAGGAACCCTTCTGTGGCACAATTTTAGGCTGAACTTTTTGAAGATGTTGGTTTTACTGTTTTTGGAAAGTTTGACAATGTTGTAATTTAAAAGTAGTTAGGGGTCTCCACAAGTTGCAAGTTGCAAGGTCTATAACGCACGCAGCGTTATAATCGTAGCATTTCGTAGTATTTTTCGTAGCATAACGTAGCGTTGCGTATTTTCTCAAACAAATCGATTAGGTTTACCGCTTAAATCTATGATGATGATGATGAATATAAAATTTAAAAACGAAAAAGTATGTAAAGTGAATCGAAAACGACGTAATAGAGAGGTTGTGTCTACTTTATTCTTGTGCGATTATTTGCTACGACATAGACCAGGTTTATAAAAATTCTCTAAATCTTTATCATCACAAGTTATGCGTTTTAATTATAAAACTCGGCTTCTGTTTCCAGTATATTACCTAGCAGCAGACAGCATCCTCTTCCTCGTACCCCCATTGAACATAGCCTTTACATCTTCCCACGCATGTACCACCTCATCCGGCGGGCTACCACTCAGCTTCATGTGTCGCCTCCAAGAGTTGAAATTGGCAGCATCAGGCTGCACGTACTTGTCTCCAGGGCCCACCCGGTGGGAATGGAAGATGAACTTGTTTGGGGAGAAGAATAGACCGCAATACGCGCACTTGATGCACTTTGCTCGGGAAGAGTTGTACCTTGGGGGGAAAATTAAACTAAATAGATGCTATAGTCTGGTCTGTGAGCATGTAGAATTTTGTCCAATGACCCCAAGCTACCCCGAGCGCGACAGCAATATAATTACGCGCGAACGATAAGGATGGGTAGCTTGGGGTCATTGGACAAATTTCTACGTGCTCACAGACCGGGCTTTAGACCACAACATTACCATGGCACAATGGTTTTAAATAATGATTAGAATGCTTATAGATACCTAAATCATCATCGTTTGTTTAATGCCAAAGCGTTAATGATATTACGAGTAGTGTTCTACGTAATACGGTTCAATTAAGTTTAGAAAACATATAATGCTAAATCACACATTCAGTGTAATCCCAATGAAAAATAGCTCGAGACAAAATAGAATTTCTAATTAATGTCGTCTAGGACTTAGTGACGAATGTAAATTCTACTAAACACACACGTTACACACATCTCAAAGGTGTTTTAAAGTCACGTATTCAATGAAATGAGCAAAGTATAGGTACACTCAGAATCCATCCTCATTTGTGCAGCTGGAAATCGTGTAGACACGTTTTTGTCACCTAAAGATCTCAGTCACCCAGTTAACCAAGGCGCAGACCACCGATTTTTATTTGGCCGATAATTGGGCCCGATTTTAATTTGTATGAAGAATCGGCCGATACCAAATCGGTGTAATGTGTGGCGCAATCGGGCTCTTAGGCTGGGTTGCACCATCTTACTTTAACTTTGACAAACGTCAAAAATCTGTCAAACTCCAAACAAAAACACCGATTATCGTTATAGTTACGGTCAAAGTTAGGTGGTGCAACTCAGCCTAAGAGCCCGACCCAACTATCAGCCAACTAAAAATCGGTGGTCTGCGCCAAGGCTTAGTGTTCGGCTTAATTTTAAGTCTCACCTGGCTGGCAAGAAGGCGCCTCTACAGCCCCAAGCGCACTCATGATGGACAGCAAACGCGAAGTCGTCCGGCAGTCTTGGCGGTGCGTTGTCTCCTAAGAAAGACTTGCACAGCCGCTCTGCTTCCCTTCTTGTTATCATGCCTGGTAAACAAAGTAAGGATGACGTCTGTGTGGTGAAGTTGCGGGTAGAGACTCGTATGTCATCATCAGCATCATCATTTCAGCCACAGGAAGTCCACTGCTGAACATAGACCTCCCACAATGACTTCCACATCGCACGGTAGGTAGCGGCCTGCATCCAGCGCCTTCCTGCTACCTGGTACGCAGAACTGACAGCCGATGGGGCAGCAAGGTTCTGGAGTGGAGGCCACGTTACGGAAAACGCAGCGTGGGACGTCCATCCACAAGGTAGACCAACGACTCGTATGTATTTGAGAATAAATATACTCTTTTTATGATGGCTGTATAACAATATTAATATTGTCGATAAATACATAGTTACAGTTAGTAAAAATTCTTAACACTTTAGTTAGACGGTCCTCATGTCCATCTTTAGGCATTCATAGAAGACCTGAGCTAGGCGGAATGATAAGGCACTTCTTTTACAAAAAGTCTCCAATCTTTGCTGTAGACGCAAAAAGTTACCACACCTCCTTGAAGAGGTGATGCCTAACGCCACTCTTCTAATATGGATCTCGTTATTACAAGTACTACNAAGAACTAGTTATGGAATATGTTAGGCAAAGTTCCTCTACAGTTCTACACGCCTTTAATGATGAAACACTTCTATCCTAAAAGGTCGCAAACGACTGCTTTAGACACAAAAACTCACCACATCTCCTTGAAGAAACCGGCATAGCTCCTGCCCGTCTCAGTATCTCCAGCTGAACTGGTGTGCATTGTACACAAGTGATGCCCAAAGCCACCCGTCTGTTGTGGATCTCATTATAAGAGAACTGCTTGAGAAGTGTGTTGGAGATCTGGCTAGGCAGAGCCGCTCTACCCCTTCAATGATGAGAGAAACAATGGGCACTCCGTAGAGAAGAACTGTGCCGACCTGGAAGAAAATATGGCATTNATGGCATTAGGGTTTCGTAATCTTCATCGCATCACAAGATTTAGGACTGAAATTGGCCTTTCGCTTACTGGGATCACTGAAGGGGATGATTGAGAATTGGTATTTGAAATGCATTATATTTTTTTTATATTATTTCATATTCGATCCACATTTCGTTATAGCGATATTCAGCTGATTAAATTAAATTAATTTGGGTCGGTAATTAATTTGCAATAAGTAGGCTATTTCAATTAGTTTAGTTAGAAGCTTATTCAAACTTAAGTTCTTGTTAATTGATATGGACCGGTAGCGTTTGGTTGTAGGTATCTCTCCTATTTTTGATTAAATAAATGGGCGAATTATGCTAGAGTTAAGTATCTAACATGTATACAATAAGTATTGCGTAGGTGACCCTTAAAAGCCAACATCTTGAAAATGTTTAGTTAATTGGACGCAAAAGTAAACTAAGACGGTGTTGGTGGGTATTAAGTCAAGCCTCTTAGGAAAATTCCGTTCGAACTGTAGGATATTATGAACTAAAATATCGATCTTGTACATTTCCTTCGAGCTTAAGGCCACCAAAACAAAATTTTATTTCATTTATTCTTACAGTATTGTGCAAAAATTTTTATCGTAATGTTACGTCATATTGTGCGGGCTGATCAAGTAGGGGCAAACTTCATCCGTAACATGCATTACTTTGTGGATATCACGGGTGAAGTTCATAGGAATTGATCTTAACTGAAGGTAGCAGTTGAAAATGCCTCCATTATTATGGTGACAACTAAACAAGTNAAACAAGACATTAGCTAGGTGGGCTTAGAACAAGAAATGTTTTTACTTACTTGATTAGGTTTGGAGTTTAACTGCATGGCTTTGTGTTCCCCTCGTGGCTTGAGGGAGTCCCTTGGAGGCATCGCCAAATTTGTAGCCTCCATCCTACAAGAAAAAAAAGATAACTTGACTTGGATCACGCAATATTTGAGTGAATGATAACCAAATTATCACGATAGTATGTAATATCTTCCTTACACTTATCGAAATATAATAAAACAGATACAAAGTTATTAAATTCCACTTTTCTGATTATGGTTCATTTGAGTAATTAACATTCATAATAATTACAGCATCCTTCCGCTAGTGGAAAACAATATTTAAATAAATTAAATAAACAGACCTCATCATTATATTCGTACAAATTAAATACGGAATGCGTTTAATAAAAGTAACAAAAGATCACAAACAAAGAGAGACATTACGGGAAAAATGACTACATTTACTTTTGCCGCCCAATAAAACTGCACAGTGGGGAAAGGCGCAATAAATTGGGGCAAAAGTGATCATTTTGTATACAAATAGGCAGTTTGCGTGTGAATTTACTGTATCGAATATCAATTGAGCACGGCGAGGGTCGGGTGAGGCTAATGTAGGAGTGATGCCCCTCTGTGCGGTGCAAGCGTTTCGGAAATTGTGCCGCTTTTTATCAATTTCAACAAGTGTTATTTTGGTTAAAAAAATGTTCATTTAACTTGTTATTGTTACTTGGTTATTGCTAGGTTTTCGCTACAATTAGGCATCACTATTAACAATATTACAAATATTAAACAGTCTTTGTTGGAATAGTTAAAACCCATTCATAGAACTAAGTGTAAAATACAATCGAAGTAGACAGGTATTTCTCAATGTTTAGTTATTATAATAACAAACCTTATTTAATACACTTTTAACAAACAATTAACATAAAATAGTAATTTAAAAGTTAACTGTTTGTTTGTAGTATCCAAAACTGCTCTGTTTATTAAATGGGACAGTTGAAAAGCTATAAATTAAAGCATATCTCGATCCAACAACACTTTGAAAAGTCATTTAAACTGTGACCTTTCGAATCACCCCAAATAAATGCAACAAAAACATGTCACCACTCTCGAGTGATGGATGGCCACTTTAAACAACCATCCTTAATGTCAAAAATCAACATAGGGTTGTCGGCGACGAGAACGGGTGACAGATCGAGCTGGTCATTAAGGGGTGTGATTAGTTAATATGTGTCACCCCTGCACAGTGGGCCGGGGCGCGCGCCAGCCAAAATAATTGATTAAGTTAAACGACATTACATTATTGTAATAACTGCATATGTTACTTTTTTGTTAAGGGTATTCTTTCTTTTTGTGGTGATTTGATAATATCGGTCGCAGAATGGCGTGTTACCGTAATGGTACACGGTTATTTATTATCATTATCGTTATTGGTTGATTTGGAAGGCTGAATATGATTATTTTATTAGTCTGATGTGAACTAATAAAATTAATGTTACTTACTTACTGCCTGCATGTTTTATTTGTAATTTGAGTGAATTCAATCAGATATTGACATGTTATAGATTTATCTAATTCATTCGTTTCGTATTTTTTAAAGATTTTATTAAAAACCTTTCTAATAATAAATTGAGAGATATTTATTAAAAAATATTCTATGAAAGGCATTGTTTTGTAACAACTAGGTACTTAAAAATAAATTATTATTCTGTGTGTCTTAAAATACCAACATTTTTGCGCGTTCTAAACTCAACTTACGGTAATTTTATGGAAAACTTCAAATCAAATAAAATCCTTCTGCAATCTGTCAGCGCATCTCCATTATAAATCATAATTTCCACGGTTCAGCGATCGCTGACAGTGCGCACAGCATCACTTGTAATTATAAGTCCCTTACGAAGGCCATATGGTGTTGATATCATATCCCGAGGGACGGGACGAGCACATGTGCACTTGTATCGGAACTAATCGGTTTTTTGGTCTTGATGCGTGGAGTATTGGACTTGCCGGTTTTGTAAAAGCAGAATATCTTTAAATGAGACAGATTTGGTTTGTATTTTGGTATTCTTTGTCGGTAGAACCATATCTATTAACAGTAAGAAGAAGTTTTACAGGCAATTAAAAATTATTTACTTTGCAACCAAAATCGCAAGTCTCTAGATACATTTTTCTTACTCTTATAAGGCTTTCCAAGAAAGAGAGCATACTTAAACGTAGGTTCTACGAAAGGTCGTTTCATAATAAGTCAAAATATCTAGGTCAAAATTGAATAGACATTTCATTTCAGATTAAAATTAAGATTGCAACTTAGATCTGCAATGCACTCGTCGGTAGAGATTTTCAAGAGCCAATAAAAGGACGTAAATATCTGTTTTTGGACTCTATTCAACTATTACAATCTTTTTCTTGTCGTGTCGACAAGAAGCCTACACAGCGTCGGCCCAAAACTTGATTGGCGCCACAAGATTGGCGTTGTCAGTAGCCATCATGAAATCTTCCTGCGTTTACAATAAGCTTCATCACTTCAGCCACAGGACGTCCACTGCTGAACATAGGCCTCCCCCAATGACTTCTACATCGCACGGTTGGTAGCGGCCTGCATCCAGCACCTTCCTGCTACCTTTATCAGGTTTACAATAAGCTTAGCATAGCTTAATATTGTAAGTATTATTGTACAGACAACAACACATCTGTCTGACTATACATTTTTATTGCAAATACACTCGTAATTACAGTCACAAAGTTATCCTACAGTGCATAAAGCTTGATGTGCTGTAATCAGCTATCACAAGAACCACCAGCCGTTTGCATTCTGTGGAACTATAACTAACATTACCAGAAAATAGTCCGATTTCACCCCAAAATACAGGGTGACCAAACAAATCGACGCGCCGGGACCGCATTGACAACATGTTGTGCACTTGCCGGATAATCCGCAGCTAAAGGGACACCCGGTTATCTATTTGTGGCGAGTAAAGCTTTGGGGTGACTATGATTTCAGTGAGTTTTATTTGGGTGATTGTGGACTACATTTAGGAATTTTGTGCATCTGCAGATACTGCTTACGCCAAATTATTTAACGATAGAACGGTGAAATTATTAGCATTTGGCAACATAATGCGTTGTCTTCAAGCTTGAATGAGAAAAGAAATAATTCAAACATGTTACGGGGTTTAAACTGTCATATTCACTAACATAATAATAATTACTCACGGGATTGCTACGTGACCATGGCGCTTGCAACAGTGCCGAAATATCGGAAACTCAAAATATTAAGATACATGGTAGCAATCCCGTTAGTAATTATTATTATGTTATGGGTTGTTTTGACTGTTTTAAAAGATTTTAACAAATTTTAACAAATGATACAGCTGCCTGGAAGTTCCTGTGTTGGAAATCCCTTCCTAAAATCCAATCGGAAAATTAGAATTCAGGAATCCATATAAAAAATCAACAATAACAATCTCCTTAATAAAAAAACTTTAACATGATGGTAAGATACCGTTGAGGAAATTGGTTATTAGGAAGAAAAGTCTACAAACATATTCATTACGTGGTCACCTCCCAAATACGAATGGTCACAGGCGTTCCTTGAAGTACCTTTGAGTCCCCAGTGGTGCTTTGGGTGCTTTGTTGGTCCGATGCTATTTAAGGCATGCCACGATGCCACACTTTGTCATCAATACCAAAGCTTTTCATTTCATCTTGAGGGACATTTTTTGATAGCAAACATTATAAAATATTACCTCATTGGGTATGCGGATTATATTTGATTTTTCACATAATACTTATCTATGCTATGCAAGTTAATTCCAAAACGTGTCGTAGGCTAAATAGAAAACATATAAGTAATAGGTAACTGCTGCAGCAGATACAAGGAGTAGGTACAGATCTAATAAATTGCGTTGTAATTTTAAAAGAAAGTGTTACAACAAGTGACAATTACAATGAATTTGTTGATCCTTTTATTGATGATCTATTGTTTAATGTAGAGCTTATTATTTATTACAGCACTTGCCGTAGTTAAAATTTTATCCCCCAACTTTTAATATGGTTAATTTAATGCTAAAAATACCTTTGGTAAAACCTACCTATTCAAATGCATAAAAATATAGCGCTGGTAGGGTACAAAGATGATGAGACATGTAGATGTTCCTTAAGAGCAAAATATTTGACGATTTGTATAACTATATAAATAAAGAAATTTTGACTTTGACTTTGACTTTCATACAGAACGAAGTTTACTTCACTGTAATCAGTAACAAATCCGATTCTTCTGAAGTGTACCCGTGAGATGTTTGTGACAAGCAATATTGCTTACTTAATCTCTTCGGACCCTACAGCCTTTGGTCCTTCGTCACGCTCGGATACTTATTTGTTAGATAGTTCGGTAACAAACGGTCAAGGGACATTCGGTTGTAGTTATATTTGTGTATCATTTCTGTCATCTGAACATGATTTTCCAAGGAAATTGAGTAATGCTTGAGGCTAAATCAGTGAGCCACCGTTTGTCATATTTTTCATGATAGAGTTGCATGGATGTAGTGTCAACTTTTGCGCTTAAGTCCTTTTTTAAAGTCAAATCTATCATTACAAACTAAACTAAAATTATGTGCATTTTATCTTCTCTTAATAGTCCAGTCAATGAATGCCTTAACGACGGTGTAGAGAGAAATCCATGGAACACAATTTCTGACCTCGGGACTTTATTTAGCCTAGTTAGGTGGTGAACATAGCAAAAGTACCCGCCCTTAGCCCTTGAGCCGGCGGGGAGAGGGGGGTTTAAAGGTTCCACTTTTCNCAAAGGTGTTAATATGTGTCACCCCTGCACAGTGGGCCGGGGCGCGCGCCCGCCAAAATAATTGATTAAGTTAAACGACATTACATTATTGTAATAACTGCATATGTCACTTTTTTGTTAAGGGTATTCTTTCTTTTTGTGGTGATTTGATAATATCGGTCGCAGAATGGCGTGTTACCGTAATGGTACACGGTTATTTATTATCATTATCGTTATTGGTTATTTTGGAAGGCTGAATATGATTATTTTATTAGTCTGATGTGAACTAATAAAATTAATGTTACTTACTTACTACCTGCATGTTTTATTTGTAATTTGAGCGA